AAATACAGAGAATCAGATCCACAGCAGCAAATCATCCGCTCTGTTCTTAGTTGTGCCTGTCCAACAATTGCTTCAAAACGCCTTCTACTAGTTCCAGTCCAGTAGGGCCAGGTCAAGATCATCCTTCGGACCATGTACTGGGGATAGTGTGGCTACTGCGTGGAAACATCATCCTTTAGCATAATTATCACTTTCTTTCGAAATACTTGGAATTATTTGAAGAGGAAAGAGAAGGGAAGCCTGCAGCGGTCGTGTGATACAACGATCAAGGTGAGTAGAATGGCTTAGCCCCATCATGAATGCATGAAAAACAATGGGCTTTCTAACGTGATTTCCGGGTGTCATGTATTATAATTTCCAACGATTCACATTATTACATAGCTTGTAAATGTTGAACAATGTTCCGCTCCTCCGAGAGTGATACTGACTCACGTTGCTGTCTGGAGTGCGCAAGTTTGTTTGCCGCCACGAAAAAGAAGGAGTGACACCGCAAGCTGGTATACCTGGTGATATTGTGGCTCGGAGAGCACCACCAAATGCAGTGCTCTCGGAAAGTTGGAAAATGTATGAGCATAGGTCAAGGAACTAGTACTGCAGTGTGTAGTTGTATCACCCATTGACAGCATGTAAACGTGTGGATCGGAGGTCACGCATCATGACTTGACCATAATGCTCAGCACTTGCCTCCCATGCGCACCTTTCATGCAACACATAGGTTTTGTGTTAGGAAGGATCTATCACCTATCTTGCGTTTATCACACCTGTACATTACAATTGGCACACATCTAAACTTTCTATACGCAATACTAGTAATAATTATTATCATGCTGGCGCACTTTGTTCAAACATCTCTCAGTGCGACATTGGGCTCTTGCATGGCACTAGTTGTAGCATTTTCTAGGCGCTGGTCCTTGTCACTGAGCCTTCTTCTAGATTCTCGTATATTTCGCTTGTGTCTCGTTTCAGCTTGCTGATACCATTATCGCCTTGCTGCTCGCTAAATAGGCACACTACGTCACTCTTGTGAGATTTGTATTGTATTGTACTTTATTATTTTAGAGTGAGATCAAGTTGCACATTGCAGTCATATACAGTCTTCAGGCATGATTGTATGAGCCGATGTGGGACTAGATGTGGATCGAGTCAGCGCATCGGTTGCTGGAAAGTCTGAATCTGATAGAGAAGGAATTCGGAACACGGAACTTAAATGCCATTAGCTTACTGGAGCTCAAGTACAGTAGATATTGGCTATAACGTTTATTTTTACTTATTTATTTATTTTATTCCAAGCAATACAAGGCTTGGGTAGCCAATGACCACTTTGCGAGGCGATTGCAGGGTTTTTATAGCCAACCATGGCTACGTGCCCTTCTGATTTTTCACATGTTATCACTATAACCGGTATATCGCGTAGGCCTTGGCGGATAATGCTCGAAAAGGTGGCAGATTCTGCTTTTTTTGCACCGAAATTGGCAGAACCATACAAACCTTATGGCGGGCAATTCCTCGAATTCTGCTCCATTTCTTTATCCACATACCAAACATGCATGAAACTTACCAGAAAAAGTACCGAATTCTGCCAATTTTTCTGCCGGCATTATCCGCCAAGGCCTAATAATCACTACAGGCGATTTTCAACTGCGCGCGTCATACATACACATTATACACGTGTGGGTACTCGATCGCGCTAATGTAGCGTACTGATACGTGATGGATGCTACTGCACCTTCTCCAGTCTAGAGTGAAGAACTAATTGGCCCAAAGGCATCATCCAGGAAGCACCAGACCAGAATACCCTATGACAACACACAGGTGGCTCCAAGTCGAGACATCAATGCCTCACACTCGTGTGTTGCTATTACTATAGACGATAATTTTTTCTGCACAAGGAGGTGTTTTGAATGGTGATTCTGTATCTTTATAGGCGATTTATCGTGTTAGCGGCCGTCGTGAGTTCCCTTCGGGAACCCTTCGGGAACGGATACGATAATTTGATAATTTACTTCTTTTTCAAAATTTTGAAGGACGCTTCACGCAGCTTCATTATACTTGAATTGTTTGCAGGCAACCTGCCTACACTCAAGAGAGCACTGCATTTCACACAAATCCATTGGTATCGTTACAACGTTTCGGTCTTTATGACCATCATCAGGAATGAAGTGGACATGGAAAGAACAGCAGTATAAAAGAAGGAGGCAAGCAAGCAAAGCGCGGTACATAGTGACAGCGCGCGTAGAGAAGTGCAAAGCACGTCATGGCGGGTGTGCATTACTACATATACATGACAACACAAGCACAAACGGCGAGGAAAGTAGATACTGCGCTACAGCATGCAGTGATAACAGCCCAGTTCCAGTCTCACACCACCTTCTTTTTTTATCTCTATAAACGATATATTGGTTATAATGATAATTTGACTGGCTTTTTCTGGTTTTGCTTTTAATATTTTCATATTGTATCATAATAGCCGGTTTAACACTATGTCCGATGACTTTATAACCGATATCCACTGTAATGAGGGGTGGATTCCCCTAGAACACTGTTTATTGAGAAGGTAGTGGTGCATTCTTGCAGATTTGCCGAGTGAAACATTCAATAGACTTTTCGTGTACTCTGGATTGCAGTCGTGAGTCAGTCAAGTGTCAATTCATCCCGGAACGAAAGAATGATCCACTCACGCATCAAGCAGCACCTAATTCGCCATTTTTTATCGAGAAAGTCGCTCAAACCACTTTTTGTAGGCAATATTACTACTGTCTGGTTGGGAAATTGAGCAGTTCCCTCTAGAAGTGGCCGAGAATTGTTTGGCTGAGAATTGCCCTGTGGCTCAGGACTACGCTAACCAGGAAATTGTATGAGCTTCAGTGTCTACTGAACTGCTCCTGAAGAGCGGTTTCGCTATCGCACGGCAATCACCAAGGACCAGGCACGTCTCGATATCAGTGTCAGTGGATTGTGGGGCAATCGTTTGGAGCACACACTCATTGATGTGCATGATGTTAAACCCTCATGCTGCCTCGAACCACACTGCACCACTGGCCACTGTCTATCACCAATATGAACAGGAAACAAGAAGGAAGTACGAGGAGCGGGTCCGGAATGTCGAACATGCGTTGTTTGCCCCGGTGGTCATGACGGCGTCAGGTGGTTTGAGACATTTGGCAACCAGCCTGTACAAGAGAATCGCATCGCTGCTGGCAGACAAGCTAAATTATCCGTATGCACATGTCATGGCATTTGTCAGGTGCCGCATTTCCTTTGCCCTCCTAAGGTCCTGTATGGTGTGCCTTAGAGGGTGTTTCACCGGTTCCCTCGCAAACCCACACTTGATCTCCAAAACTCCATTGAAGAATCTAACCAAAAAGAACAAAGAACGAATAGCTTGGGACGCACGTACCCGGCCCCGCACTGGACACACAGCCAAGGAGGATGATACCGTAGCGTCCCCACGCTTGACTATGCAAAGAAAACAGCTAGCAAAGAAGCGAGCGCAGTTCAAACATTTTGAACAACACGCGCAAGGAAAACACGTGACAGAAAATAATGCATGATGTCATCAGTACACACGCGGACATGCAAAAAAGGTCAAAACCGAGTGCCGCAAGAAACAGCACAAATAAATAATATTTCAAGCAGCGAAGAACTAGAAAGGCAGATTACTAATTATTGAAGAACAAGAATGTATTGTAGAGTTCCAGCGCAACTGCCGGAGGATGCCGGTACCCACCAGCAGGGTGGTTGCTGCCCCTGTCAGAGAGATAGAACGAAAACTGAAACAGAGGAATTGCAAATAGTGAAACGCACAAGGTGAGAATATTCGAGCAATGTCCAACTATGACATACTGAGTAATACATGTAAACCGAAGACAAACACTAACAAACGGAGAACGTTCCAACAGAGGGTCTAGAACAATATTTGAAAATTATCAACAAGGGATTGATCAACACGAGCCTCCCGCCACGCTGGCGATTTCTGAGGAACGTATGGGCCACTTGCCATTTGTACAGATCCACGAAATCCCGTAGAATCCCGTAGACCCGGAAGGGTGTTGAATGTGCAGGACCCTATTCTGTTTTCTGCTGTTTCCACTAAGAAATGGGGCCTGAAGGCATTTCATACGAAAACCTTTTTTCTGACAAAGATCTAGCTAGTCATTAGTTCTAACCAAAGTGAAGAAGCTGGAAAAGCGATTGCTGGTCATTGAATTATGACGCGAAAATTGGTCAAATGCGCATGCATAGCACATTCAACACAATTCCAGGTCTACGGGATTCTACGGGATTTCGTGAATCTGTACAAATGGCAAGTGGTCCATTTGTGGTTCGTATTTCTTTTAGAACTTTATTATTCATATGTATTTGTGCAGGCTTTGTGGCCGGATTCCTCACTGTGATATGACCATCATAGCGGCATTGCTCAGTGCTGCCACATAAAAAATTAAAACTGAACCGAACTGCTCCTTGCTTTTGTCTTCCCTGATATTGGACATCAGGCTGTGTTTACATGAGGCGTTTCAACCCGGGTTGAGTTTGACCCGGGTCAGATTTCAACCCGTCATGTACACAAAATGAATGGCGTGTTTACATGACGCATTGCGCTTGACCCGGTTTGAAACTTCGCCCCGGGTTGATTTCAACCCTCCCCTTGGGTTGAGATCAACCCGGGGCGAGAAAATCATACTAACGTACATCTGTGTGTATCTCCCGCCAGGTTTGAATAGCAATGCACATGCGAAAATATTCACGTGAACAAACAGGACTCTTGAAGTAGACTTTTGGCAGCATATCAGTATTTGAGCCGAGCCAACTGTCTTCATGTAAACGCTCTCCAATGTTGTCTATCACACAGACTTTCAACCCGGGGTGAACTCGACCGGGGTTGAAATTTCTCATGTAAAAAAACAGCCTTAGTTGAATGTCGAAGCTTTCCCCCGCCCCCCCCCCCCCCCCCCCCCCTCCTTGTTTGTGTTTGTGTTCATAGGTGCATGTAATATGAACAATTCACAGTATGCAATGGCTTCCGACTCGTCACGTCGCCTCGTCATCCTGCTGCAGTTCATTCTGTTCTGCGGAAGCGCTCTCGCCTGTCCCCAGTATTGTGTATGCAACGGTAAACAGGTGCACTGCGATGATAGTACTCGAACAACCATTCCAACTAGTCTACCCAGCGGTGCAAAAGAGCTGTAAGTTCCTGACTGCAATCCCCGGAGCACACGGTAGACTTTGACAGTTATTGGCACATTTTGCAACGATAGGAATGCGCATCTAATACCTGATTTTGATCCTTTTTTATGCTATCAATTCTGTAAACATAGTGTCCTCCGGTTCGGCTGTATTACCCTTCACCCTGATTCTGCATTAGCGAACCTGTGAATCATGCCTCCACACTGCTGACTGGAACGCGAACGTGACTTATTACAGAGAAAAGACCAATACGTTGCGAGTTATTATTTTATGACTAACAATCCACCTAGAAAATGAGATAATATTGTCAGATGGTGCGGCAGCAAGGCACAAAAGGTACTGAGACTTTCAACGACCTGACTCCCGTTGCTTGTGTCGAGCTCAATTTTGTTCGTAGTGACTCCCGGGACCCTACTTTTGAATTTAAAAGTCGGTGTAGGCTTGCCAACAGGTGCTCTGAGGGCACATTTCCTTGGACCAATCATTTTTGTTGGCGGTAGCGGAGATTTTTCTGATCGACCTACATATTTCGATCTCTCCAAAAGACCAAGATTTGACCAACCTACGATAATTTCAAAATACCTACCCCATCGATCTCATTGGATAAAGATGTGTGTATGTGCGGACAGTAAGAGTATCCCAGTCAACCACCTTTTCTTTCTCTTCCTGGACGTGTGGCTTGTGTACTTTAGATTCATGTACGGTACCCCGTTGGGCTCCGTGTCTGGAGAGAGATTTCCTCCTACGCTAGCAGTGTACGTGAGTCATATCTAACCATTCCAGTGCCTCATTTGCATTCAAACCAGTTATGTGCTATTCCCCTAGGGTAAGAAGCAGCAAAAGCCTAAGAATCGTTTTTGTTCTCATGGACATAGTTGTGTTATTCTGCTGAGTATGATGGCCAAATGTGTTTCCTTTTAAGACTTATACATCTGACCAAAATTCCCAGGCAGTTCCAAATGCGATATTTCTCACCTCATTCTGAGAATATCTTCGGTTCTAATCAACCAATTATCACAGTTATAATGTTGCGGTAAGGAAGCCGAGCTGAAGTGACATTTGGATTACTTGATTAAGCAATGTTAAGTGATGGAGATGATGCGAAAAATGATGTGACAGGTAAGGACAAATTCATGTATTAAAGGAGAAAAAGCGGTGGAAAAAGATGATTCGAACATGTTTTCGTTCAACGCTTTTCAGCAATCACCGTTGCACTAAAGAACAAATAAGAACACAGAAAATAGTAAAGCAATCGAGTTAGAATTTTCACAATGTTGGGCACTCTGGAATGCTCTTCACGAGCTGCGTCACATTGAGCTCCAACTGGACACTACTGAGATCACAATCCAACGCCAGGGTGCTTCAAATACTCCCCATCGCTGGGCATCCGAGAACATTCTCTCATTGTCAGCCATTTCTCGGTCTTTCATCGTAAACATTTCAAATTTGTTTGCTTCATTTTCTTTTTTTATGCTGCTCACGCGCTCTTAGCATGCCAGGTAACTCTTACTCTACGATGAGAACAGACATTGAGCACCCTCAGACATTCGAAACGCTGTCACCTCCAGACCCGCTAATCCCAGGGCCGCGCTGGGCGAATCAGTGCGGGATAGTGGTAGCGACTTCGGCAGTTATATATTACAAGGTAGTGAAAAGCCTCTTGTACGGGCAAAGCAAATGTGCTTACATAATAATTATTATGACACAAATTCTCAATACACAATAATGAACAATACGCCAAGAATATGAAGGAAAAGACTCAATCCAGTTCTTTGTTGCCATAATGGGAAGTGAACTGTGACGCAAAACAAATCTGAGAAGATGGCAAGTACAGACGGTTGGCGGTCACGCGGCAACAAAATCACCAAACATGGGGCACTAACAATGTTGAAACATGGTTGCAGGAGACAAACTACAAGTAAGCAAGCAACGGATACAAAGAAACAATCAGACAATTAAAACACGTTTAAAACGCAGTGGTGCAAGAAGATGTGGTCTCGCCAACGGCCATACGATCCCCTGCATGTTATGGCTCGACGGATCAGGATAAACGACAGGATGCTCCGAAGCTCACCCATCACTACCGAATAGGCAAGTTTGCTATGCTTCTCCACCAGTTGCAATGCCAGTGCCTTCAAACACAATGTCGTATCTTTACCGCACATGCCGGAGGTACTGAAAAAGAGAGGAGTGAAAGCTCCACGTTCCACTCAGTTCACTCTGTCACTGTATGTTCTTTTTTTGGCCATATCACAAGATGGTTTTATTAGCTTACTAGCTGGTTTGGAGGTAACCCCCCCCCCCACACACACACACATTTTTCGATGCCTAGTTGCAACGCTGACGCCGAGACCTGTGGTCGGTTGAGTTGCTCCCAGCATATCAGCACGTCGTCCCTACATCCCCTATGTTTTGTCCTTTTCCTCGTTTCTTTTTGTTCTCCACCTGTTTTCCAGTAGGGCTGTGTCAATAGTAAAAAATAAATAAAAAAAACTTCATAATAATTACAGTAACACTTGGATGGAGAGCCAAGGGTTACATTAAAAAAGAAAGGACCAAAATGTCACATGTTATCCGTAGTTTGTGTCAAACGCTAACAGTTATAAGTAAGATGTTGTGTAGTCAGAAAGTGCAACAGCTAGCACAATACTACGGAGGATTAGCAAGACGAAATTCGCGTTCGCGTTCGCTCTCCAAGGAAAGTCGAACTCAGTGACGGAATTCGCGTTATGAGAAGGATTAGCAAACAGAATTCGAACATACATGACGTTGACACGACGTATATTGTGTACAGACACTACAGCGTTGTAAATTTATGACTGCTCTGACACGAATCCGGGATTCGTGTTCCGACTACTTTTCCGAACGAAAAATGCAGAAGTTCGCAATCCAGTTCGCCAACTGAAAAAATGGTTGTGAACGTGAACGCGAATTTCGTCTTGCTAATCCTCTGTGCTGACTGATGTGATGCTGACATTCAACAAACTGATGATCAGCTCTATCGGTTCGTTCATAACTTAGAACCTTCCAAGGTGGAAGGCTGTTGGTTTGCGCATCCAAGACATGACAGAGCTTATCATCAGGTCGTCGAATGTCAGTATAACGTCAGTCAGTATCGTGCCACCAGTTGCACCTTCTGACTATACGGCATCTTCCAACATTTTGCTTATAACTGTTGTCAAACTGCGGATAATATGTAATATTTTGGTCCTTTCTTTTTAAATGATTACAGTGTATATAATTATGTGGGGATGCGTGTGTGCGCACGTGTGTGTGCATGTGTGTGTGCTTATGTGTGTGCGTATGTGTGTATGTGAAGATGAGAAACAGGGATTCACTGCCCAGAAAAATCTACTTCAACCAGCCGTGTGGTGTAGACCACGCTAAACTTAGTGGCGGTCAATTTATCCGCCTTGCAAGCTGTTTGAATGGAGTAATCTGGAACTCCCTCCCCGCCGCTCTTCTGTTCGTATTAGTGACTGGAACTCCCTCCCTGCCGCTCTTCTGCCCCAGCCTCCCCACAGCCAGGGAATGCAAGCATTCAAAACTAACGTTTATCGCCATCTGCGAAGCACAAACTGGCTCTGGGCAGTAGACTCGCTATGATGATGCTCTCGCGTCTATCCCTTTCTATGCACCACAACTGGCTCGGACAATCGACTCGCCATGATCAGCCATGATGATGCTCCTCTCAGGCACAACCCCTGTAATTGTTCATAGTCTCACAGTTTCTCCCGCTCGCTGATGTTAACTCTTCCTTTCTTTTCACTTTGCTGCCTCGTACAGCTCTATCTTCTATTTTTTGGTGCATTTTTTTGGCCGTGATGCCGAGACCTCAGGTCGGCAGAGCCATCAATGCCCCACCATCACTGCTGCGTCTCGGTGCAGCCCCTGCTCAATAGTTGTCACGTTCGTCCTAGTCTCAGTACCATTGTCTTTCTTTCTTGTTTTCGAGCTGGGAATGTGAACATAGTAAAAAAATCAGAGCACAAGTTGCTATATCTAACATAGCTCGTTCCCTATCATCGCTTCGGCGATGGGCTGGAGTATGAGTATGAGTGTGTGTGTGTGTGTATGTGTGTGTGTGTGGGTGTGTTTGTGTGCCAGCTAGTTCGGTTGGTGGGTATACTTATGCCGGATAGTGTTGGGTCTGTTGCCAACGGGCTCGGCTGCTTAAAGGTGTAATGTTGTATCTACCACCTTTGTAGGTTTCAGGGTTCATATACTTTCTATTTGAAGTATACATACCTGTTAACCATGGACTACTTCTGGCTAGATTAACTCTTGTGTAATCATGGTGCTAGTGAAGCTTGTACCAGATCCACTCTGATTTAGCCACCCACACTAGTTGCAAGTATTACCTTCACTGGGGACAAGGGTAACTGCAGTTGGATCCCGGGATGGATACCTTGATGCCGTCAATCCTGTTTCTGCACCTTGTTCTCACCCACTTACTGAGGCGTGGTGAGCCCATAAGTGGGATCATTTTCAAGTCCACCCAGAGTTTTGGGGATTTCAGGGGGTGTCGGCCGTTGGGTGGTTCAATAGCCAATTGAGTCATCTTTCCAAGATTCCTTTTTAGTCTCTCTCCCCTCTCCTGGGGAGACCCACGTGACCAGTTTTGGCAGTGAGCAACAAGTACAAGTACAAGTGTGTGTGTGTAGTGCAATCCCATCACAAGTTGCTATGGCTTCTGCTGGAGCCTCACTGTCATAGTCGATGGTCAAATGGTGTGTGTGTGTGTGTGTGTGTGTGTGTGTGTGTTGTTTTGTGCTCCTTAGGAGCAGGTTACACTTTCTGAGCTCCGTGTTCTTGGCTTTCTCCAAAGTTTTTCTGCCTGCCCAGGGCGACTCTGGCGTAGCCAGAGTCGACCCTGGAGCACCCTCGCACACTGCCAAGGTAGTGCTGCATCATGATTGGAGCGCGGAATCGCGATGTAGCTTGCAGGACAATTTACTTCGATATTGTCACTGCTGCGTCGGCCGTGGTCCACCACTCGCAGTGGAGTAGCTATCCCTCGAGTGCTGTGAAGAATCCAAGCTCGAAGAATGCAGTGGTGGGAATTGCGGATTGGCTGGTGGAGTGCTGGAACAAGTCGTTGTTTCAGTGGAGTGGACGAGCGAGTGCGGAGAGGAAGGTCGCAATGGCGGAATGGTGGGAATTGAAACTTCAATCTTTCGTCGTCATGAGTGCACTGGTCAAGCGTTGCGGAAGTCTGTCGGATTTGTGAGGCATTGCCCTGCCGCTTACATCGTCAACGTGGAAGAACTGCTAGTGGAGTCCTGGTGGGATTTCGGATGCCCACACTCCTTTTGCTTGGTAGATTCTTTCGTGGACAGTGTTTTTTTCGTGGCGTGAAATTTTGAATTTTTTTTTCTTTCCTGTTCATTTTTCAGTCGTTGTCACTGTAGCTGTCAGGTTGTTGTTACAGTACTCGAACATGATTGTACAGCAGTCGTCCGTTCTACTCCATTGTTTCATCTGTTTTGCCAGTTCTGCTAGCTGATTCTCTTTATTTGCCACTGCCCCTCATAGTGCTCATGCTTGGGTGGAGGGCGGCGTGACCCGTTTAGGGTAGCTGTATCATAGTAGTAGTAGTAGTGTGTGTGTGTGTGTGTGTGTATGTGTGTGTGTGTGTGTGTGTGTGTGTGTGTGTGTGTGTGTGTGTGTGTGTGTGTGTGTGTGTGTGTGTGTGTGTGTGTGTGTGTGTGTGTGTGTGTGTGTGTGTGTGCCTAGTCTGATTTAGCCACCCACACTATTAGCAAGTATTACCTTTACTGGGGCATGGGTAACTGCAGTTGGATCCCGGAATGGATACCATCATGCCGTCAATCCTTTTTTTGCACCATGTCCTCACCACTTACTGAGATGTGGTGATCCCATAAGTAGGATCTTGGTCCTTGACAATTTTCTCTAACAGGTGGGACACGATCGGAAGGAGAGAAATCGAGCGATAGTTACTGGCGACAGTCGGTGTCCCCGCTTTGAAAAGGGGAGAGACACAAGAGAGCTTGAATGCAGCTGGCACTTTCCTCGATCGCAAGACTTCGTCGGCACAATTGTAGGAATGAGCGTTTGAAGCCTTGACCAGTCCGACACCGTTTGCCAGCCAAGGTGGACTTGCCGTGCACAACTGTTCTCCCAGCTTTGGTGCCACTCCAGTTACGGAGACAGATGCACCTCGCCAACCTGATTACAGTCAATGTCAGCGCACCACTCCCACACCTGTCAGCGCTGTTTCCGGACCAAAACAAGGCACCGCCGGAACAACTGAAACCGCAGAACATGCAGCTCTCGCTTCGAGTGCCATATCATTCCATGCCCGACCTGTTCTCGGAAGTTCACACGTCTCCACTACCTGGCTCAACATAAATGCGAGACTTAATTATGCCCTCCTTGGTTCTCTGTGGCACTGCATCGTCACCACTGCATCAAGTGGCAGGTTCAAGGCTCAAGATGTGTGTGTGTGCGTGTACGTGTGTGTATGTGCGTGACTGCTCTCGGAGATTTCGGCATTCCAGGGACCTGACCCGGCACCGGCGTATTTGCTCCACTCCCTCCTCCCGCAATGGGACCACGTAACCTTTAAGGCAGTGGGTCAACAGGACAGGACAGGATATGCGTGTATGTGTGAGTGTGAGAGTGTGAGCTACCTGGAGGCTATCACGAACCCGTTTGTGCCCTTTGCTTGGAGTTGGGGTCTAACTGTCTTGAGACAGTACGGTGTGTTTCCCTTCGCTACTGAACCAAAGGCATCTCTATTCGCGCACCTCCAGTGGCCTAGTCTGGTATGGCGGCGACACATCCATTGCCTTTGGGAGCTCCATCACCTGGTTCACCACCAGACCACTGCTCTTATGGAGCTGGGCTATAGTCTCTCCACCAGTGCGTGGCGCCCTCTCCAACTTGTCCCGCCTGCTAGGGTGAACACCTACTCGCGTGCCACTTTCCTCTATGTTACCGCTGCCACCTGGAATTCTCTCCCCACTGACATTAGAACCACCCAAAATAGTCATTGCTTTGTGTCTCGTGTCTGTTTCATCTTTGCCAACACCCGCTTTGAACCCGCTGGTTTCATTCCTTCCAGAGTTTCCGTGACATAGTGTTAGGCCCACAAGTAATTACATGTAGTTCATATTCATTAGTTCATGCATTATTCATTTGGCCTGGGTAGCTACTTGCGCGTCCATGTTTGCCATAGCTACTTCAACTCGCTCTCTTCAATAATCACCATGTAGTCGTCTCGTTCGTCCTGGTCTTAGTCATCCCGTCTCTAATAAATGTCGTTCCACCAACATATCTATTCCCGTTGTCAGTTGGCCTTGTTCGGACTCAACAATAGTAACGAATGTTATGGCTGATTTCTACAGTACACATTTGTATAACCCTTCCTCTTCTCAATCTACATGTTATAATTTTGCAGATATATTCCCAGCAAGACATCATGAGAACAGAAACCCCCTCGACTTCGGCCTTTGGGGAATCCATAAATAAATAAAATAAATAAATAAATATAACAAACTGTGAGTTCTCAGAAGACCAAGGCCATGACGGGGAACTGAACGGACCCGCCAGCTGTCATTGATCTTCAGGAAGGTGGTGGTCAGCTTCACGTATCTTGGCAGTGCCCTTCGTGCAGAGGGAGGCACTCTGGAGAAGGAGCTCCCCTCCGGGCTTGCCAAAGCCTCTCTGTCAAGTCCAAGTGTCTTGTATGCAGGGCTGCCGGTGTCCTCCCTACTGTATTCTATGGAGTAGAGACTTCCCCTGTGAAGGCCCGGCAGATGAATCACCTGAATCTATTTCATCGCTCATGCATTCGTTCCATTCCTGTTAAGGAGCAACCAGCACTGCCGCCGTCTCACAAGTGCTGTTACGCGTCTTCCTGAAGACATTGGCACTCGGGTGCATGATGGGTGAATTCCCCGAAACACTGCTTGTTGAGCACAGAGCAGTGGTTTCCTACAGGGTTTGCTGTGTCGAAGACAGTGCCGTGTACTCACGAGCAAACTTAACAACTTCTTACGGCAGTTATATATGCCTTGTAGATGACTTGTTATCCATATTAATTATTATACTGGTAGACGAAAACGAAAACTTGATTGGTTGAAAGTGACAGTATTGTGTGGAAACATTCGACCAGTATGTAACGTACTGTTGCTTGTATTATTTGCTTTAGGTCCACGGATCATTGTAATATCACCATGGTGACGCGTGATGCTTTCAGTGCCACTCCAGACTTAACCGCACTGTAAGTATGGACGCGCTCTGTGAAACGCAAATCACCCACAATCGTGTCTCGCCTACAATTGCGGCTATGCATTATTCGTTCTAAAAAGTCGCTAAAGCTCTCCTCGCCCGTAGAAAACGAATAAGCTACTTGTTTGGAAAAATAATTTGAACTGTTCCCCTCTCCACACTACGCTCTTGATTCACATTCATTCTCCGCAACACCACCACTCCATAGCGAGGAAATTCATTCTTGGATAGATGCTCCATATCCTACAGCCCGCTGTTTCGCTCATTAAGAGCTCCTCAGTGGAGGTAGATGATAGGCACCAGCGGATTTTGCCGGCATCATTATTGGAATAATTATTGGCATAATTTGGTGGTTGAAAATTGGAGCATAATTGGGCATCGTTTCGGTAGTGGAAGCATAACTACATGATTGTACCACAGTTCTAGTATGTAAGCTACCCAATTGTGTACATTGCACCTGACCAGTGCTGGTGGTCAGCATGGTAAAGGGTTTCCGAGGTCATGCCAATAGTGTTTTCAATGAAAAGCATGGTAGAAATCATGGCATTATTGTATGCTCGAACTCGTCTTCTTCGAAGTCCTTTCTCACACTGATACAGTACATATAGCAGAAGATGTGAGTGAATCAGCCTTTATCAGGCATTCTGGGGCGGACGAGATAGTGACAGGTAGTCCGCAAAACTCCGCGTTCATGTACATGATGCATGTTACGAAGTCATGGTCTTAGCAGCCATGACTCTGCAGGATATGAATATTGCTCTAATATTTATTTTTATTCCCGTAGCTATGCAGAAGACGGTACTTCAGTAACGTCTGGCGCTAGCCAGGGTCTACACAGCTTTAATTTGGTGTATATTTATTTGTTTGTTTGTGTCGCGCCTGGTGCTATCCTGTATCTGTCCCGTACCGTACCATCAAAGATAGCTGGCCACAAACAGCTGGCCACAATATTCAAATAAGGCTTTCAAATGCAAGATCATAACATGAAGCAACTAGGAAGAATGAGTATGAATGCGAAGTGCATCGGGATTGCATGTAGGGCGAGTGCGGGTTCGAATCCCAGGTTATGCCTTGAAAAAAAAGGATAATTGAAAATTTTATAACATCCCTGTCCTTTTTTGCCTAGGTCATAAAGGCAAAAAGCATAGAGTAGGGCCCTGAGCTTCCAAGCTCTCTCGTTAAATTGACCGGAGGATGTACCCAGTGTGCTGACAGTGCTCAACACCGCGGAGGCAGAGCGTAATACAGAACAACAAGGACAACTAAGGCGTGTTTGCTGCTACTTCACGTTTCATGCTCGAGCGCCCCATCCTAATGTTGACTGATGATTGCGAGAGCATGAAACTTTAAGTAGCAGCAAACAAGCCTTGATTTTCCTTGTTGTTTTGTTTTGTAAAAAAATATTCAGGTATAGTTGATGTTCGGCCATAATTGAACGAGAGATGGAGCTAAGGGAGAGATGAGCTGATTATTCGCAGGGTGGAGGTGACATCGGTTGGACGAATATGACGATTACGAAGACAGTAAGGTACCTCAAACTAATTTGGCAATGAAAAAATGTTTTTACAAAAGAAGTCAACTAATGAATAAAAGAAGTGTTATTTTTCGTTGGCTGAGCGTAGCGAATGAAACGAAAAATGTATTTTTTGCCAGCATTTTCACCATAGTTACGGCACCAGGATTGCGTCAGCTGGTTTCTTTGTCAGTGTTCTCAAACGTTTCTCTTCATCGTGGTCTTTCTCTTTTCGTTGTAGTTTCCCACCCGCCTTCCCCTTTATTCTCACATCGAGATAGGTTCTGCAGGCTACGTTTTGTTCATTTATCTTATGGGGTTATTCTAACCGGTTTTTCCTCAGGGTTGTGCCTCCGCTGGGGTCCTGAGGTTTTTTCCACCAGCTTCGGGCTAGTTAATTATCCGGCGGCCCCATTCACCACAGTGGTTCGCTTTTTGCATCATGTTGGTCTGGTACATACGTGTACAATCATGTATATGTGTGAGGTGGCATGCCCTTCTTCTTGCTCATGTATACACTACGCTAAGCTCTTCCATCTTCCACCGTGAGTGAACAAAGACCACACTACTGCTGCGACCTGTATCTTTCTGTTGTGTGTGGGTGTGTCTGCGGTGTACGCAGAGGCCAGCTAGCTGGCAAAAAGTAATTTTTTTTCTCTTTTCCATGTTGATCTCTAGCATGCATGGACATCTTGGTATGGGGGTACTCATGTAACATTTTGTTGTACTTTTGGCCACTGGCAAGTACGAAAAGGCACAATCTTTCGAACTCTGAGGCTCCCGATAAGTACAACAAAGTGAATATTATGTATCCCCACATGCCAAAGCATCATAATTATGAGGATTTTGCGAGCATAATGCGAGAATCCATGAAACCATAATTCCATGGTTTCGCGAGCATAATCCGCCGGAGCCTAGTAGATGAAGAATGAATAACGGATAAAGGAATAAACAATCGACGAGGAGACAATAGTCGTAAAATGGCAATAAATAAGATAAATTGTTCACTCATAATTAATTAACAACAGCAAAAAATGAAGAAAGTTAAGTTCCATAACGTTTTCTTGTACCTGTGCTATGTAAACGGAAAGAAAATGTATCACTCACACTCTTCAAGTAATGCACACGCACTATTACATTCATTCACACAGTATCACATTCATCTGCCACTAACTTTCTCACATACACTATATTCACACATTGCGAAGGTGCAAACTTTGCTTTTTGTACTTTCTGGCTGCTGTATTTCTACCAGAAACCATATTAGCTACATGTATATAAGTGTGTGTTTTAGTTATTAAATATTTTATGTGACGGCGTTCCACTGAGGACAGTCACAAGAAAACGTTATGGAACTTAACTTTCTTCATTTTTTGCTGTTGTTATGAGTGCACAATTTATCTTATTTATTGCCATTTTACGGGTAAAGGAATGAGTATTTTTATAGGATAAAGTGGCCCAATTGCCCAGGTTCTACATAGAAAAGTGACATAGCTCAGAAAAGTGACATACCTGAAGAAATTCAAGGTGACAAAAGTTCTAAAGGTGATAACGAAACGTGCTTGTAAAAAGAAACAAAACTCGTTGTCCGTTCCATTTACCACGCTTTTGAAAACTGAGTACGGAAAATTCTTGCTCTCCGTTTTAGAAGTGTGTCCGTGTGGCACCTTGGCCTTGTCGTAGGGTCTTCAAGATTAATCCATACTCGAGTGTGTTCTGTGCGAATGTATCTGTGCCACTACATTAGATCCTTGAGACACAACTATTGGCTGAAATCCCTGCCATCCGACCTGCTGGCAGACTTGCCTAAATTGACTTTTTTGTGAGTAACAGTTTCTTCATTTTCTTGTTGTTGTTACTTGTATTTATTTAAAAGGATTCTCCAAAAGCAAATGGATGCTTATCACGGAAGTCTCCTACATAAATATAGTAAGAAAAATGGGGGAATGAGGGAGAGGAGAGGAGAGGAGATGAAGCATGGGAAAAGGGGAAAGAATTACTTAAATATCGAGGTATAACAGCAGTAAAGAAACATTGTCGCTAGACTTACGATTATCGATTTTCATTAACTTTGTTTGCTTCAAAATCGCCTTCACCATACCACAGTGGCCACATTAGAGTCCTCTTTTGGAACACATCGTGTGTCGAATCGTTCCTCTGTGTGAGGAGCCAATGGACAAAATTAATAGAGCCCTCTCTTTATTGATGCCCCGACGTTGTCACCAAATTATAATGTGCAAATTTGGTTCTGCTTTGCTTTTATACTCTTGTCCATGCCATTACACTGGTGGTTTCAGGATCACAATCGCAGTTCTTGTTGCCGTTTCTGTTGGGTCGTGATAGTTCAAAGTAAACATCAGGCTCTGTTCTCCTTTTCCTTCTTGGTTTTTGTACTGAATGATGTACATGTACATGAATCAGGATTGAGAAAATAGCACCCTCTCTTTAATAATGCCCTCACTTGAATAATGCCCTCACTTGAATAGTGCCCCATTTGTGATGGACTTTGAAAAATAGGGCCCAAATGGCGCTAATCGTACGAGTACGGTGTGTAAACGCAGAGACCGAGTCGTGCCGAGTCCGCTATAGCTCTTATTAGTACTATACTCCACTTCTGGCCAAAGAACTGTGATTAGGTTTGATCGATATTAGCTTTGCCTAGCCCTTCGGCTACTGAGATTCCAGTCGTATCTGGACGAGATATTCCTACCGTTTGGACTGATAATGATACATTTCCCTCTGCACATAAAGTGCTGAATGTGCGTGCGTCAAGACCTGTGCTTGTTGTTGGTGCTTGAGGAGCCGCTTTCCGCCATTGGGTGAGAACCTTGGTCTTATGATTGTTTTTGAAATACACCTGCGGCGACCGCATAGACAACAACTTTCCCCTTTCACGAAGCGCAGAAACCGTCAGATTAGCGCTCATTTGCGACGCACCAGGAATAATTTTCATACAGCCATGACTGCATACAAACCAAACTTCCCAATCCGCTGCTATGCTCTCAGTTACCTGTTTTAACTGTCACTTGTTCACTTTCTGACTCCATCCAGATCACTCCACAGCAACACCCAACTTCAGATACCTATAGGACTGGTGGACAGTGTCCCTCTTCTGAATTTGCTGTAAGTTAGAAGTGTTGCAGTCAGACCAAAAATGCAGGATAAATTAATTTTTAAGTTCATAGCATCAACCGTGTCGATATTTTATGTTTCATGGGGCATGTATTGCATAGTCATACTCGCATTTGCCCTGGCAATTGCAGAATCATCTTCCGCATTATTACATCGCTTTACAACAGTTTGCTCTTCCTCCTATGAACATGTCTTCATGATGTAAATCATTCCATGGCTTTCTGGTTGCTTGTGGTTTTTTCAATATCGTTTCAGTTCATTAGACAACACAGCAATGTGCTCAATCGATACTGCCTTCTTGTCCAAGCTTCCAAACCTTGCTACATTGTAAGTACTGAAGCTGCGGACATAGGTTTAGTCCTTTGAAGACTCATCAACGCAGCAGAGAGCCATATTTGAACCAGGCCCGCATATACCTGGCCAGAGTGCTCAAACTGACAAGTCAGTGAGCTTGGCATAGCGGAAACAGCAGAGGCACTACCCCACATGTGAGTGCTCAACTACTACAAGAGCAGGAAAGAAATATTAAAAACAATATGCACCTGTACAATAGGCATTTTAGAGAATCAAAAATGCCTGAATGACTGGAAAAAGAGGGACGAAATGTTTCCAAGTAGTCCTTTGTTTGTGTCCACACACTTCATGCACAAACGAGAAAGCAGGAAATCCAAATGTACGAAATATTCCCTAGTTGAGGGAATGGAAAAGGCAAAATTCGGAAGAAAGAATTGACCTTCACGACCAGGACTCAAATGCTTCTGAATAATTTATCCAGACGTATACGGGTGAGGGAAAGATGCAAACGGAAATATTGACTGTCACCACCAGGACTCGCACCAGGGATCTTTTATATGAAGATTTTTTTTAAAGCCAACATGTATCTACTCAAATCTGTAGATTGCAAGCTACGTCAGTCATAGGCCTCATCAGGTCAGCTACTAGCTGCCCGTATCCATTATCCACAATGTGTTTTCTGTAGTTGTTGTTTCAATACTCCACCCATTATGCAGGCAGGCATAGAGAGATGGTGTGAGACCATAATTGAGAAACAAAGGGTACTGGGCAGGCTTTTCCCAAATCGGCCGGCCCAATAATGTTGTTGCAAAGTGCCTTTACCAACGAATGATGTTGCTGCAAGCATGAACGACGATTGACCATTCGAGCTCTTTACTTCAGTACTAGTAGTACTAGTGCGTTGAGGTCGTGCAACTCGTGTCCTTTGACCTCCTCTCAAACAAACATTTGTCATTAGGAAGATAGTTACTAGTAAAATCCCCAAATTGGCCGGCCGAAAAATTTGCTTATCGAAGAATCGCAAAGGTTTTTGCTGAATTTGGAGAGTTCCTTTGAGAATCACCGAAAATCTACTAAACCTTCCAATATCTCACCAATTTGAAGCCAATATGCCAACAATTCTTTTAGCCGATTTTCCAATATATTCCAATTTTGCGGCCGATTTTCGAACAATCAGCTGATTTTGCAGCCGAATCAGATGTCACAGTCACTATTCTGATGAGTTCCCCGTTATTATCTCTATGGAACGAAACAAGACTTGTCAGGAGTACTACTACTTGCTTTCGTGGAGTGTGGCTGGCGAACTGTTCGTGCTGTGATCTGCAAGCGTCGTATGGTCTCGCCGGGTCAAAATGAAAAACCTACTACTACTGTATTTGACGGACCTATTGAAGATGGCACAAAGAATTAGTCACTATTCCGCTGCATATTTCGCTGAGCATCCCATTCCTTTGTAACTTGCCAATCCCTACCCCTTTTGTGAACGTGCTGTATTATTATTATTATAGACAACACCTCATGGCATGAGAAGAAAATCAGCCAGTACGGGAGATGTGGGTTTTCTTTTCTCTTTTCTTTTCTTTTCTTTTCTCTTCTACCGTGGTTGATCTCACCCTCTCCTCAATTTATTTGGCTGTCCATGCTACGAGGTGCAGAAATAAATAAATAAAATGTATTTTTGAGCCGAGCGAAAAGCCGAATACGCGAAAATAGGCCGATTTGGGCGAAACCTAGTACCAAGTTCAAGTCCTTCTTGGAAGCGGAAAATGTTTTCCAGCCTTGCCGCGACCCACAGTTAATAGATCAATCCCGAAAAATTGTCTGGGTTCGTGAAAGAGGGCACACGTACCGCGTGCAAGTCAGCTCGTGTGAAGTGCAGCGTTTTGTATTCAGTTTGTACGTGGCAGCTCATGGCGGAGGAGAGAGAGACTTTTGCTCGCCGAGCTGAAGCTAAAGGATTTGCTGGAGTCCTGCCAGCAGCTAGTCAAAGGATCGTCGGAACCTTAGGCAGACCCTGACGGAGTTTGAAGGCTAGCTAGCTTTCGGCGAGGAGAGGAACATTCGCGTGGCAATCGACTCTCCGTTAAAAAACAAGCTACATACCGCCGACATACCGCAACGGCTACGATTACAACTTACAACTTCTCAATCTGCTCAAACGGGTTTATTCAAACAATACGACATGGAAAGAAGGAAGAAAACCAAAGATACAAGGGATGAAACTCGACTACGAAATGAAAATGAAAATTTGAAAATCTCTCATCCAAAGAAACTCAAGGCCGATGTAGCAAGGTTGTGTCAAAGATTCAACTCAATCCCTAGACGAATGCGTTGAAAGATGTAAAGTGGGCGTGAATGATTCACGCTGAGACTTTGGCCTGCCGAGAACAACAAAATAAAAGAATAGAAGTAAAAAGGAAAACAATAGAAAATGCAAGAGTAATCCAGAGAAACAAAAGTAGCTTCACAAAGTCACAATCCGACCAACAGCAAAAAATCGGAGAATGGAAAACAAAGCCTACCTTCTCAATCTGCTGCTTTACAAAGTTCAACTATCTACAAGTCCTGACTGCTGTAGTCTGAAGCCGTAGTCGTATCGCCCCCCTACAGGCAGCTATTGTAGCTCATCGATTTTCCGACTTGGACTTCTTCCGCAAACTCTCACAAAATTACTGCAGTGTATGCTGTGTTTCCGCACGCTCGTGTCGACATGTCACCTACTGTACATGTACCGGATCGGGAAGGCGGAGGCGCTTGGCGACCTCCGCTGACTCCAGGTTGCCGAATACCCGCCGTCATCTCCGCTATTATCGCAGGACACATTCTCCCCTTCCAGGACCTGTTGTTGTCCCGGGGGTAGAGACTGCGGTGTCTTTCGAAATAGTTCTTCACCACGCTCCCGTGAATGATGATTCTCATCATGAACTCTTTCTGACGGTGTGACATGGCGATTGTCTTTGGCGGAGCATTGGCTCGACGAAAACGCAATCTTCTTGTTTAGTACGACATTGATCAGCTGCAGATGAGTACAGTCACTTCGTGGCTGGTTCTATAGTAGGAAACCTGGCAGGAAAGAGGCAGGACTCATCGAAGACTAAGCGGTCGCAATTACTTACAACAGCACTCGAAATATCTTGTAAGATTTAGGGTCTATCGCTTTGAGCCACAACGCTCACAGCCTTGCCTACTTCATCAAAGAGAGCTCTACATGTTCGTTGACCTCTTCACACTACACAGAAGAGCGAAACATGGATTATGGCTCAGCGTTTCGACTGCAACAGCCGAACATTACCAGTGCGAGAGAGACAAACCCACGAGGGACGTTGCTTTCTGTCGCATCGTCTCTCTTGCATTCAACTAACGAGAAAACCGCGTACTTACCCCCACATTCAGGCGCAAACTATCCAACACGTCCTGTGCCGCATGCTGATCAGGTAGTGCCATGTATGTGTTGTACAGTTTACTCACAGCTGACATGCCCCCTTTCAAACCCAGATAATATTCTCCGCATTGGAGTATTTGGGAACTCGTGACTTGGCACGAGGAAAACATGGATGCAGTGAATGGGACTTTTGGTCTTTGACCACTTGCTGGTGAGCTGATCTATTCACCTCCCACCGCTTTAGCTGCATCTGCATCTGCACCTTGATCCTTGAAGGGGCCTCTAGCCCAGTCTGACGCGAACCGTGAAATATACATATTTTATTATACCATTCCATCCAGTAACGTTACAAAGTTGTATTGATTATAATTATTGTGACAAGATCAAATTCTGGAATGCAACTGTGGTAGCTCTGCTCATGATATGAGCGCGCACATTGCTCTCCTTTTGCATTTTGGTTATGCGAAAGGAGAGAAATGTGCGCACACATATCATGAAACGTTGCTTTGATCCTGCATTAACTTGCGGAATTCACATCGGCTTATCACTCGTGTCCTCGTGGACTGGCCCCAGCAGCACTTCCCCTGAATCTAACGGACAACACGGAGAGAGATATTGGTTGTGTTTTGAAGTAGCCCGTGAGAATCAGAGTGCGGCGGTGATGATTTATCCACACGATTGAAATGCAATCCAAGAACTGCAGTTTCAATTGAAAAGGTTCAAACGGCAGTTCGCGATCACATTTCGCATGCAACAATGCAAGTCCACACAGTCAGGTCGTAAGAAACTTGGTGCAATCAGAATCTACAATCGTTAACTCTTCTGTTTCTTCTGTTTGGCTTGTCCAGGGGATTGGCATCAACCCGTCTTAAAACGCTGCCCTCGAACCTTTTCAGAGCGAACACGAAGCTGTCAGCAATGTAAGCATTACACAGGAAATCCCCAACAAATGTTATTGCTTTCTGCAATGGTGTTGCCAATGAGCGATGGACCAGTGACATGTAAGCATTACACAGGAAATCCCCAACAAATGTTATTGCTTTCTGCAATGGTGTTGCCAATGAGCGATGGACCAGTAACATTGCACTCCAGTCATAGAGCAACGGATTTCTGGACACTCCTATCCTCCACTTTTTCAGTCGGTCCCCAGTAGCCTCCTGCAACTCTTCATTTAGCAGGCTATGGTATACGCTTTGCTCTTGGGCTACTATTCCTTATGGTACAGATATATCATGGGTACTCCCTTCACCCTTGACTTGGCAAGCTCATGCTCTCTAGGCGTGGCAAGGGCAAGGATTGCAGGAGGAACATTCAGTGCTGATCCGCTCGCCGCAACATTTGCTCAGAAATGTAAGTTGCAACCAAATGCTAGCCCAAACAAACCGTTTGCTAAGAAGGTGGAGATGATTGTATCAGCAATTTATACCAAGAAAAATCACTACTCTCATCCGTGGCATTGCCCCCGATAGCAACGAGTGCGGTTTATTACGTTCTCAGCAGAATGTATCACCAAGAGAGATAAAGGATGCTGTTGTATAATTCTGCCTTGGGGGAAGTGAAAAGGTATTGTCTTGAATCATAGGAAGTCTTCCCAGCGTATTTTTCACGATCATCCATAACTTGTATGAATTCCTGATTGTGATAATCACACCTACGTTGGTAACAAACATGATGTGCTGTTTTGTCGACTATTGCAGTGGTGGGTTACTGTAGCGGTAACTCGAAATTTCAATGCTTCTCCAACAAAGGCAAAACAGGCTACTTCTGCCAATGCCCAGCGGGGTTTGTTTATAATGGAAACACATGTGTCAGCACAAAAGTGTGTAATCCTGAAATACGCACCGCAGCATGCAACAAGTACCCAGTGTGCCAGTTTAATCAACAGCCCAGTGTGTACGAGTGCGGCTGCAGAACGGGACTCAAACTAGGCAGCCATCTTTGTGAACTGGCGGACGAATGTTCGGAGGGAACGCACGCATGTCACGTGAATGCCATCTGCCAGAACACTAATGCCAACTACACATGTATCTGCAACACAGGCTTTATGGGTGAGTGCAAGAGTAATGCACGAGTCCCATTGTCATTCAGTTGGGGAATGTATCTGTCAAGCAGCCCATCCATCTGCAGTACTTCGGGATCTTACAGACCAGTATTTGCTGGTGCTAAGTTGTGGAATCTTTTGCCCCTCCACCCCCCCCCCCCCCCTCTTTAAAGTCCTGCCCTACCACATGCCGATTAAAGCGTCTATTGAAAGTTTACTTTCATTGCTAATGCTAGGATGTTCCCTCTCCCGAGAAATCTCTGGGCTCGCTGTTTTCTATACTCCAATGATGATTACATAAAATAAAAACAAAATACATGTATATGTACTTCGGGATCTCACAGCCTTGTATTCCCCTCTAGTTGTCCTGCCCTACCACATCTCAATATTCACACGTCCATTGAAAGTTCACTTTCATGGCCAATGTTAAGATGATCCTTACCCTGAGAGATTCCTTGGCTCAATGTTTCTCTTCACTCCACTTATCCGAGTTATCTAATATTGTTCTCTTACTTCGAAAAAATCTGTTCTCCCTTTCTATCATCATCATCAGAACAAAGGGCATGATTGTCCGTTTGACTTGCGGTGTAAATAAAAACAAATACAACACAAAAAATTCAATATGGCAGGCGACAGATAAAAAGGAAGAGTGTGTTCCGCGAGCTCCCATGTAGGGAGCAACATACTCTTCCCCTACTATCGCCGGTCGCACCAACCTCTTCTTCACATTGTTGTCCCTCCACGCGGGCTTGCGAATTAGACGGTTTGGAGGCAACAACGTTGTGAATGGCCAACGGTCCTCAGCGCTTGTTCAGCACCTCCATGGGCGACACTGACTCACGCTGCTATCTGGTATTCAGGAGGTATTTGTCGCGTTGGAAACGGAGCGTCTCTGTCAGTTCGTATCCCTGGTGATGTTGGTGCCTGGAGAGCACTACATAACATAAGTGGGGCTCTTCAGGCACAATCTTCCTCAGCCTACTCAAGCTCAACTGATGAGGGATGAATTCCCCTAAAAGCTGTGTATTGAGCGGGGAGTGGTGCTTTCTTGCAGGTTTGCCGAGTCGACCGTTCCATGGACTTCTCATGGACTTCTCGTGTGCTCTGGATGGCAGTCGTGAGTCAATCAAGTTAGAATTCAAGTCGGCAGGAAAACTGCGAGCTCCCATGTAGGAAGCACCACACTCTTCCCCTACTATCGCCGAAGTCGCACCAACCTCTTCTTGACAGATAAAAAGCGCTTAGAAATGATTTTCTCCTGTCACTGCGTCGCAACGCACAGGAGACGAATGCGTGGTCGGAAAGATTCCGCGAATCTCGTGTGGCAACCGGTAGGCATTTCCCAAATCAGGCCGATTTTTTCGCCCAATTGGCTTTTTGATTGCCTAAGAAAATGTCCAAATTCTCCTATATCATGAGCCCCAAAGTCAGAATTCGGCTCAAAACTAGGCATTTCCCAAATTTCCAAAAGATTTTTCAACTAATCGGCTTTTTGATCAGCTAAGTGTCCAAATCCAACAATATTGTGCGCCCCAACGTCAGAATTCAGCTCAAAGCGGTACTGAAAATCACCTCTCGCAGTATAGATGTACATATACATTTACATGTACATGTAAATGCACGTTTTTATGCACGTTGTGGAAGCACTATAACATCCATTTCCGCCGAATTCAGGGCGAAAATTGTAAATTCGGCGCAATTATCGGCGATTTCTTTACAGCCATTGATTTCGGTGTCTTTTCCTGCTGACCATTTTCGGAAATGTCTGAAGTCCTAGTCACCTTTCGCAGATAATGGCTATAGAAATGATATGTGCATGCTGTTCAGGCCCTAGAACATCGATTTTCGGAGATTTCAGTGCAAAAATTGCGTCGAAAATTGCGTCGAAAATTGCGTATTCGGCGAAAGGATCGGTCATTTCTTCAAAACCACTGTTGCCGGCCAATTTTTCGGCCAGCCGATTTGGGAAATGCCTAGCAACCGGGAACATGGAATACACTGCATAGTTATTGTGCTGACGGTAACCATCATTGGGTCGGCCATTTCTTGATCCATGAAAGTCGACAAGCTAAATTGTATAAAAATGTCAGTTACACAAGAGAGATTGGAAGCTTTGTTACAACTCTGATTTCACGTATTACTACGATCATCAGGCACCTAAAAACGTTAGTTATTATTATGGTGGATGCTCTGGGAGGTGAAGTGAGAGATCATAACCTGGTATGCGAGAAACTAGCTAACATGTGCATTAACGGCAGACTGCAAACTATTTTGCACGTTGCAATGCTTGAAGCAGGCAGGCATAGTGGGATGGTCTAAGACCATGATTGAGAAACAGAGGGTACCAGGTTAAAGTCCTGCTTGGAAGCGGAAGGATTTTTTCCAGCCGTGCTGCGACCCACAGTTAATTGGGAACTCGTGGCCTGGCACGAGGAAAACATGGATGCAGTGAATGGGATTTTCGGTCTTTGACCACATGCTGGTGAGCTGATCTACTCACCTCCCACCGTTTTAGGAGCTGCATCTGCGCCTTGATCCTTGAAGAGTGGTGGCGTTCCGACGGATGCGGAAAACTCGGCCTCTATATAGAGAAACCGAGCCTGACGCGACCCGTGAAAAAAATGCTTGAATAGGAGAACATTGATTTTTTGAATTGCAGGTGATATGGAAAAAGGAAAAAAATATCTAATAATACCCTCATGTACAAAGTACTGCTTTTCCTTTCTCATTTTGTGGGAGCTTGGCCAATTCCGTTGTCCAGGAAAGAAGGTAGCAGTGCCTGTTCATTCTGTCGAAGTACAATAAAATCTACCACCCAACGTATCAAGTATCAGGATCCTGAAAAATGTTTGTCTGTCGTTATTTCTCGTTTTTCACGTGAATAGGTGATGGATTCTTTTGCGTTGTCGATGGGTGCAGAGCTACAGTATATCCTTGTGGTGCCAACAGCAATTGCGTTAGCACAATTGGTGGCACAGTCTGTGTATGCAAGACTGGTTACATTGCACCATCCATATCAGGTGTGTCACTCGCGTTCTGATTATGAAACCCTGCAGTGAAGAGCAAATTTACCATTGCCGTCTGGCAAAGGATCGTATAAAAAAATTGAAAGTGCAGGTGCTCTTGGACCTTTCCGAACCTGAGCCTTCCAAGTTGGAAGGGTGTTGGTTTGCGCCTTGGAGAAGTGTTGGAGCTAGGTGTCAGGTTGCCGAATGTCTCAGTACTCCTTGTCAGTTGTGTGCCATTTTGTCGCACTCGCTGACTGTATAAGATCTGGTTACGTTGGTGGACAGTTTGGCATAACTCGTAACATCATTTTGTCCTTTTCCTTTCTTCATCAAAACTGTACTACAATAATAATATTCCTAGTATTGTGGTGTTGCTGTTGTAGTCATTTCCCCTTAAAAAAGAGTAAATTATCGTGTCCGTTCCCGAAGGGAACTCACGACCGCCGCTAACACCCGGTTGACCCTAGCGGCAGATGCAGTGCTGAACGGTGGGGGTGAGTAGTTAAGTCTCACAACCACTGGCACAAGTGCCGAGAACGACCCCATTTGCTGCATCTATGTACCCCTTGTGCCTGGTCACAAGTTCCCAATTGACTGTTGACATTTTGCCGTATTCCCTGCAAAAGTCCAGGATGAGAATGGATGGAAAACGCTTGGTTCAGAAAATTTTCGATTTGTTCTTCTAGATTCGCGTGGACAGCGTATAGATCCATGTACTATTTTTTAAAACACTTGCAATGTGTATTTCGGTCCATACCTGACAGGTGCTCGTTCGGGCTGTATGGATTTTGACGAGTGTAAATCAATGTCAGTGTCCTGTCCCAGCAACACGAAATGCGTGAACACATTGGGTAGTTACTATTGCGATTGCAAAGCAGGCTTCAACGCGACCTCATGGCCTTACACAGGTAAGATGAGAAGTCCAGGCTGACAATAAAAAAAAATTTTAAATGGAATATAATTATAGGTTGGACCCATTTTTAAGAGATTGCCGACTCCTTACTTTTGATTGGATTCAACGTTAGCCTATTCTGATTTGTGTATTCGGTGGTATTGCGGAGGTGCGGATTTTCCTTTTGATACTCCATGTATTGTTGTTGTTGTTGTTTCAAATCTTTATTCTCACGATAGCCAGTGGCCAATAAAAGATTGTTGTTGTTGTTGTGTTTATTTTAATTCGCAAACCAAACGGGCAGATCTGCCCAATGAAAAAGGTGGCGAATGCAGATAGAAAGCAGTAATATTCTTAATGAAATTGGGGAAAGATGTCAAAAGGATAGAGGTGGAGAGACACTAAGCCAGCTGATCATCAAACAGGACGTTCGGTACTCTAGGTACTAAGGGTATGCGGGCTCATGCTGGCGCGGAACTGGCGGAGCGTGGAGATGGCACCTATATCGCTGGGTAAGGTGTTCCACAGCCGGGCGCCCCAGAACCCGAGGCAACCCTTGCCGAACCGTATTGCGCTGAAGGAGGTGAATAAATATCCTAGTCACTAGTATTCCGTGGACTGCAAATGACGTGACATCATCATTCTTATCCTCGTGAAAACAATGCGTAAATAGACCTGCTGCTTCAGTAGGATAGAATTGGATGGAGAGCCAGGGATTAATTATTTATAGTAAAGAAAAGGACCAAGTTGCTTTTGGGTTTAACCTTTTCATGCCAACGTTCCCACCCATGAACACATCTTTTGAGAAAGTTGTACTTTCAACAGCAAAGAATATTAATTTTAGGTTCACAGTCGTGAACATCATTCTGGTTCTATTGGCAGGGTGTTTGGATGTGAACGAGTGCAGCTCATCTCCACTGAGGTGTGGCATTAACAGCGAATGTGTCAACTCTATTGGAAGCTACCACTGTGTCTGCAAGTCTGGATTCAACGCATCAACATGCTCACGCACACCTGGTAAGTCAGCTTGCTTAGATGGTGGTGGTATGATACTGAAATCACCAACACTGCAGTCCAAGCATTCGAACTAGTCCGACTGGCTTTTGAAATCCCGATTTCGCCCGAATTGAGTCTCAAAACCATCCTTATTTAAAGAATTTTTAAAACCCGGATTGGGATCGTTATCTCCTTATATTTTTGCAATGGCATACCCGGTGCTATTATGGAAAACCTGACTGAACTTCTAACTCGCTATCCTTGGACTTTTCTTGCCTCGTATATGGCAAGGAATAATTGCACGGGTCACATAAGGCAGTACGTAGTGTGATTTTCACAATAACTGCAGTTACATGTACAAACGTAGGATACACCATATGGTCAGGGTGCCACTTTCCAGCAAATGAACTGTGGAAATACGTTCCAATTGTTTGTAAACTCCAACGCAACCACTCAGTGACACTCACTCATGACTAACTCGTCACTTTTACAAACTCATGAAAAATCTCTTCCCCTTACATTCACACTCAGAACCATGTATGAACAATTAAAATGAAACAATTCCAGAACGTTTTCGTGTGACTATCATCAGTGGAACATTGGGGGCGAAAATTTAATGAACTGTAATGTAAGGTATTTAAATAACCGACGAGGAGACAACAGTCGTAAAATAGCAATGAAAAATATCAACTGTGCACTCATAACCATGCATAAACAATTAAAATGAAACAATTCCAGAACGTTTTCGTGTGACTATCATCAGTGGAACATCGTCACATAATAAGAATCACTAAAACAACCAGTTATATAGCTAGAATATGAAAAGAAGGGTGAGAATGCTGCACAGCTAGTGGTTATGCATAACGCGTGTAGTGTGAACCGTTGCAGTGTATCTGAGAATGGTAGCAGTAGATGAATGTGGCAGCTGTGAGTGCGTGTGGACAAAAGTGGTGAGTGCGTATTATTTAACCCATTCAGCGCTACTGGGCCTTGCCTATGGTACTCTGCATATAAATGCTAAAAACAGGGCCAATAGCAAGTTCTAAAACTCCAGGGTTCTGGCAACTGGGATCCTCAAATATTTTGGAAATGATTGCCCAGACTATCGACCACAGGGTGACAGAATCGATACAGTCCCCAAAAAGAATAGCGCATCACAACAGGGGACGCAAGTTTGCTCAAATTGCATGAAATACGCCAAATGCGTGAAATTGCAGCTGAAACATCGCTGAAAAGAGAAGAAAAAAAGACGCGTAGTGTTTCCAAGCTGGATTCTTACCAACAACCTATCGTACAAGAGGCAGGATCATGATCCAACTGACTAACAGTGCTTTTACACACCGGAGATTGCCAGAAATCGCTATAAATCCCATGACGTCTATAGACGTCATCCGCGCATGGGGGGCATTTTCAATTTTATTATTTTATTTATTTTACTAGGGCAATGACGTCTATAGACGGCATCAGCGTTCAATGGGTTAAAAGGTGTGAGTGCTACAACATACCATTCTCAGATACACTGCAAAGGTTCACACTACACGCGTTATGCATAACCGCTAGCTGTGCAGCATTCTCACGCTTCTTTTCATATTCTAGCCATATGGTTGTTTTAGTGATTCTTATTATGTGACGATGTTCCACTGATGATAGTCACACGAAAACGTTCTGAAATTGGCATTTTAATTGTTTATACATGGTTATGAGTGCACAGTTGATATTTTTCATTGCTATTTTACGACTGTTGTCTCCTCGTCGGTTATTTAAATACCTTACATTACAGTTCATTAAATTTTCGCCCCTGGCTCATCATCAAGGTGAGAAAAATATTCACAGTCTTTCGCATCGGTAGGAAAATCACCAGTCTCAAGGATCAATGAGTACATGTATGTACAGCTCCTAAAGCGGTGTGAGGTGAGTAGATCCGACACACCAAAGTGGTCACAGATGAAAATCCCTTTCCAGGGTTTGGTGTTTTGTGGAACCACAATTCATGCATGGTAGTCTAGACCTATGGCCCGGACGACTTGGTGTGAATATGTGAGGTGAAGAGCAGGAAGCAAGTAAGTATAGCAAAGTCTAATGTGTTGGGTACCTTTTCTTTTTGAAGGGAATGTAGAAAAGACAATTGACTCCTTGTATACATTTCGGGAAGCCACGTTGAAACTGAGAAAGAAAATGTGACAAAGGGACCATTCTAGAAACATATTAATTGAGAAACAATACCTTTTAAAACACAGTACAGCGGTACAGATATTGTTATTTTCCGGAGAAAGCCGCACTTTCAACACTCGAAAGTCACCCATAAAAATGGCGTGCTGCTTATACTCCGATGATCAAACACCGGTGATAAAATAGGATAGATGTCTGCATTTCTTGGCAAAAAAGGGGGAGTTACTGCCATACTGCGGACAGCATGCATGGTGATGTCAAGCCGATTGTTTTCTTTACTTTTATCGCTTACCAAACGGTACGATTATAGGCTCCGATCTGATTTGTGAGGATGTTGACGAGTGTGGCGCAATGACCGCTACTTGTGCTAACAACAGTGGATGCATCAACTCAGTTGGCAGCTACTCGTGCAAGTGCAATGCTGGTTTCAAGGCATCAAACACATCATCAGTAGCAGGTGAGATCTCCACCAGGTTTTGCTCCCTGTGTCGAACTACAATCTAAAGCATGTCCACAATGTGCGACGATTCAAACTCAACAGGGAGCATTGAAATTACCGGTGTGCCACTCATGTTGTGCGGACGATAACCAGATCTATAGATTAATTCTTTATAATATGAAATTATCTCTTACAATGTATGTACATGTACATGTAAGTCTTGAGCAACGTTTCTTGAAATATTGTATGTCAATACGGATTTTTTTTACAATGATCACAGCTCACAGGCAAAGACAAAAAATTGCATAGTGGGGGCATAGTGATGGTGAGGCTACTAAAATAGCAATGAAAAATATCAATTGTGCAACACCATGACTGCATAAAACAATTAAAATGAAACAATGCCAACAATTTCGGAATGTTGAAAGGAGAAATAAATATAGATACGAGTTGAGAGTAATTTACTCTCCATTACTGTAACCAGATACTATATACAGTCAGAAAGGTCGGTTAGCGCTACGGAGATGTGTTGAAGCTAGGTGTCAGGACGTCGAATGTCTCAGTACTCTGTCAGTTTTGTGCCTAGTTGTTGCACTTTCTGACTGTATAATAAGTATCTGGTTACAGTGATGGAGAGTTACTTTCAACTCGTATCTATATTTCCTTCTCCTTTCTACATTTATTATTGGCTCAACATCCGAGTTTCAAATTTCGGAATGGTTTCATTTTATTGTTTAATACGTGGTTATGAGTGCACGATGATATTTTTCATTGCTATTTTACGACTGTTGTCTCCTCGTCGGTTATTTAAATACTGACCAAGTACATGCATGTAGAAACAAGACCTCTAGCAACGAAATGTCATAGCAGGCGTTGTCACCGGCGTCTATCAATATGCTTTTAGAAACATTTCACGAAGACAAATACATAATGAGTTTAAATTGTAGTGATACATGTACATGTAACTGATTCTGTTTATGTGTGTTCTGCTAGGAGAGCAAGGCTGTGTCAATGTTAATGAATGCTATTCTCAGCCCTGTAACCACGGCTATAAATGTATGGACACAATTGGATCCTTTTCGTGTGTGTGCAACGGTGAAGACGAGATGAGCAATGGAACACACTGCTTCGGTATGTGCCCGTGCCTTCCTCTTGAGTGGCGGTGAACAACACCAGTACAGTTACATGAACATTTACCTTACTCACGTGATTAGTACCCCTGCCCTGGGACACTATTCAAGAGAGGGCACTATTTTTTCAATGCTGGTGCTTTTGCTTCATCCAGATTAAAAAAACAAAACAGAGCCTAAAGTTTACTATAAACTATCACGACTCAACAGAAATGGCAACAAGAACTGCGATCTTGATCCTGAAATCACCAGTGCAATGGGATGGACAAGAACATCAGCAAAAGAGCACCAAACTTGAACATGTGCAGCGCTTGGTTACAAGCCCGAGGGGGGGGGGGGGCACTATTCAAGAAAGGGCTTTATTTGTTTGCTGGTTCTTGGAGACTGGGGAACTATTCAAGAGAGGGATCTAGTGATGCAAGTACGGCATATCCTAAAAACTGGTACCTTGAATTGTAATCAAAGGACGCTTTAAATACCCCGAGTATGCAACTATGATCTCGTTTGGTGTTGCTCTGTGTTTTAATACTACTGGTATACCGGGAAGATGCTAGAGTTACGTGTACTTCAAGTAGCAAAACTGAGGACTGAAACACTCGCAATAGCACACAGTAAAAACGTTTGTATGTGTGTAGGATGGAGAGCCAAGGTTTAATTTATACAAAAGAGAAAGGACCAAGGAACTACAAGTTACGCTACCGGTATACTGTCCACTAACACCACCAGTTACTAAACAATCAGCTCATGCGATAACATTGCAGTCAGTTGGTCAGCGTCGTGCAATGTTATCGCACGAGCTGATTGTTTAGTGACCGGTGGTGTTAGTGGACATTATAGCGTAAATTGTAGTTCCTTGGTCCTTTCTCTTTTGTATGTGTGTGTGTGTGTTTTTCGGCCAGTCGGCTACTATCAAGTAGCCATGTAGGGGCGTGAGCCCGCCTTTCGGCACCGAGAGTTGTGTTAAAAAAAGTGTGTTTACCGTCCATTGCACTAGGTGCGGACCTGTCTGAAGACATTGATCACGTCAGTGCTAAGACCTTGTTTCAAGGAACATTTAGAAAAGCGATCCTGTCCCGCTTTTCTATTACTGTGGCCGCAATGTTCAATTTGAACCTCCAAATGTGCTAAACACCTGCCTGCCATGCATGCTTTTCAACTCCAATCTCCTATCGCTCTCTTTATGTGCAGGATTACCTTCCAACACAGGACAGTCGGATGCGACGACTGACACTCCCATCTCTGTTGCCATTGTTGCAGTACATGCGTGCCTAGGGGTGGTGTTCATCGTGGCATGCATACTGGGCGTGCTTCTGTGCAAGTCTCGACGGGCGACGGAACACACCTTTCTGACAGCATCCCTGACGTCTACCCAACCCCTTGATGCATGCTCAAGTCATGAGATATACTCAAATCGGATCGTGACCGGCCACTGTGAAGCCAGTCCTTGCGTTGCGGCGCCACCAGCCACGACCGAGCTTCCAATGGCCCCGATCTCTTCCTCGTCCCGCGATTGTCCGGAGGAGATGGGCAACATGGTCGACAATGATGCCTATGGTGTTACGGAGGTGCTGAACATGCCGACTCACTACCTTCCTGATCAGGAGCAGGGCAGTGAGGATCTGGCTGTGGATTTAGTCTATGCAAACGTGTAGTGGACCCTATGCCATTGAACGATGGTCCCGATTTGTAGGTTATTCGGATATTAAACACATGACTCCTCGTCACTTTCAAAACACTGATAGGGTAGAATAGAACAGGACACAGCGTGACAAAAACAAAACCAATGCACCTCAAAATACTTCATAGCTTCCGGGACGTTCCCTTGCCTCTCGCTGTCAATGCCCATGACACCAGATCTGTTTATTTTTTTCCATGGTATCTTCTTAACATGTAGATTCAAACAGGGTCATTCCTCTTATTCTTCTCTCTCTCTCTCTCTGTCTCTCTGTGTCTCTCTCTCTCTCTCTCTCTCTCTCTCTCTCTGTCTCTCTCTCTTCCTTTTCGCAGGCACGCACTGTAGCCAATATAAACTGGTGATCAATTGCGGCTCTCGTCCGATTAAGCAATTGACTGATAATGTTGTTTATGACTGGTGATGTCTTTTGTAAATTGTGTAAGGAATTTTTTTATTTCATGCCGTAGAATTTCTCAGTACTCCTTGTAAGTTTTGCGCTAGATTGTGCACGTCTGATTGTTCAAAATCTGGTTTACTAGTAGTTGGTGGACTCGATCGCATAACTTGTGCCCGCAATTTCCATGTTACAATTTTTTTTATCACACCAGCAGAAACATTCCATGTACCTGTTAGATAATTCCCAGCCTACCTTTTGACATGATGAGCAGTACCCTTTTGACTTCTGTGTTTCTGTGTTTCTGGGTTGAAGCTTCCCTGTACGCTGTCCAGTCATGCTGATCAGGGAGGGGAGTATTACTACACGTAATAATTGAGAGGTTTGCCTTTATTTTGATAGCAAACAGTCGGGTGTCGGAAACTGGGTGATGCACGGCATGAAGAGCTCGAAGGGCGCAAGCACTGCACACACTATCCGGTATTGTATTGCTCACAACATTGCTTTTTGCAATCTGTACCTTTGCATGCAACGACCCAAATCCAGACAATTTCAGTAGACACTTCCTTCTATCAAACGTTTTCTTTCCCTTATCTTCAGGATAGTGCAGGGAATGCTGGAAATTTGGAAAACACATAACTATAATAGAGAAAGAAAGAAAAAAGTCAACACTTCAACATACACGGTACCGGTAGGCGATAAAATGATTTTTTGTAGACAAACACTTTGAACACATCAAGGAACACTTGTCACACTTTCACGAGGTATGACACCAAACAACTGCAACGATAACACATTCTCCTTCTGCACACATAGTTCTGGATCTAGTTCACGAATAAACAGAGCTTTTAATACAGCAAGATGTAACTTAGACCTCCTACGAGTTAAAATCGAAAAGATATCATCTTTTTCTTTCTTTCTTTCTCTATATTATAATAGTTATGTATTTTCCAACTATCCAACATTCCCTGTACTGTCCTGAAGAGAAGGGAAAGAAAACGTTTGATAGAAGGAAGTGTCTACTGAAATTCTGTGGATTTGAGTCGTTGAATGCGAAGGTACCGATTGCGAAACTATTATTATTCAAGCGGTTGTTTTGGAGGCCGTGAAAATAGTTTTGCAATGGTGTTGCCTACTCATGCAGAAGGCGGCGAGCAGCTCACGCATTTCACGATGTGGTTTCATTGCGATATGGCTGGCCTCTGAAGCGGTTGCCCTCGGCTTGCAGCTGTGGTAAATCATTCACCGTGGCCCATGCTCTCTCCTGCTCAACCGGCGGCTACCCTAGCCTCCGCCACGAGGTACGCGACCTCACAGCATCCATCATGAAGGACGTTTTGCATCAAGCTGTGGTGGAACCGCTGTTGGAGCCGCTGACAGGTAAGATGATGAAACTACGGTCGGCTTCAACTGAAGACAACGCCCGTCTGGACATCGGTGCCAGTGGAGTCTGGGGAGGTCGGTACGAGCGTTCATACCCCCCCCCCCCCCCCTGTTATGCTACCTATTCAATATCGCACAAGTAGAGAACCCCTCGATAGGCTACCTGCCTCTGGGTCATCCCTCAAATAAGAATACTTTGATGTCCGAGTTTTCAACCCCCACGCCCTCACCAACGCCAAGTTTGCTTTGCCTGCTGTGTACAAGCGACATGAGCAGGAGAAGCGTCGCCGCTACGAGGAACGGATCACCAACGTCGAGCACGCCTCCTTCTCACCAGTTGTTTTGTCCTGCACTGGAGGGTATGGCAAAGCCGCGACAGCACTCTATGCTCGGCTGGCATAGAATCTTCGATGCTCCCCGACAAGAAGCAGGAGCCGTACTCTGCCACAATCTCCTACATCCGATGTAGCAGTTTTTCTTTGCTTTTTCTTCAAGCGATTGTTGTCGCTCTTTACTCCTTGTTCTTTCCTCTACAAAACTCCTGTAGTCGTCGAGTGCCTTCATGATGGCTGTGAAATTGGCTGCCCACAGTAAAACTCCGTGTTTGAGAGTGCTTTGAAGATGTTTCGCGTCCTGATGGATCAAAGTATGAGCGCTCCTTGTGGATTCGATTATATAATTATAGGTGAGTTGTTCAAGAAATCAGTGTCTTCTTTCTGTCTCTGCCCTCACGCTGGCACAATATCAGCCTCTATATCCATGACAGCTCGCACCTCCCGTAAACTGCATGACTTAGATATATGTTCGCCTTCCGTGGTGATTGAAGACCCATGGAAGAATATATTATGTTCAGAATGATGTCCTAAGAATATAAAATAAAATAATTCTAGGGAATTCATAGGTATTTTTGGAAGGAATGGAGACAGAAGAGAGAGAGAGAGAGAGAGAGAGAGAGAGAGAGAGAGAGAGAGAGAGAGAGAGAGAGAGAGAGAGAGAGAGAGAGAGAGAGAGAGAGAGAGAGAGAGAGAGAGAGAGAGAGAGAGAGAGAGAGAGAGAGAGAGAGAGAGAGAAGAGAGAGAGAGAGAGAGAGAGAGGAGAGAGAGAGAGAGAGAGAGAGAGAGAGAGAGAGAGAGAGAGAGAGAGAGAGAGAGTGAGGAGTGAGAGAGAGAGAGAGAGAGAGAGAGACAGAGACAGAGACAGAGACAGAGACAGAGCAGAGA